ATAGGGGTAATTTAGAGAAAATTGATAAATATAAGAAATGGGTCTTATATTTAGGACCAAAACCAATTCAATAATTGGGTCCTATATTAAGGATCGGAGGAGTATTATATATAAGGGAAGACAGATTATACATAAAAAAAGTGAAGTTACACACCATAAAAGTTATATTACACAAAGTTCTCAAATCCTATTTACTAACTAAATTTTCAATGAGGGATTTATCTCCAATTTTTTCTTATTTTTTTCCTTTTCCCCAATTTTTTTAATTTACTGAAATACTGTTAAAAAAACAACAAAGGCGAACTGAAGAGAAGAAGATTACGTTTATTTAAATAGAATTTTAAATTTGGTTATTATTGCCAAAATTTCTCTTCACATCAGATATATCATACACTGCCTAAACATGAGACCTAGTTAAGTACACATTATATTTTTTATATTCAAAACCTGAGATACAATCTCTTATTTTAATTATAAAACTTTATTTATAAATTATAAATAAGATATTTTAAAACTTCTTCACAATTTTTATTCTTTTGATAATTCATTGGAAAATTAATACCGAGCTGCGGTTGCAGTGTTGTAAATACAAGAAAGTGCCCCTGCCATCAAGTGGGCAGGTAGGCGGTAGCACTAAGCCCCGTTCGTAGCCCTGAGCCCCGCTTGGTATGAGTGAAATGGAAGGAAGGGGGGGTTTAATAAGCTCTATTTAAAAAATCAAAAAAATAAGATAATTTTTTTAATTAAATTTAATTATTTTTAATTATTTTTTTCTTTATATTACTTTTCATCAAAAATTTTAAATTTTACTTTTCTAATTTTTTAAAATTAAACTCATTAGAATTTTTCCAATCATTCCTTCTCTTCCATTTCCCTCACACGCCAACAGTGCAGAGTTTTTAAAAACTTGGATATAAATAAGTTTTAAAATCACAATTACTAAATTGTCCCGGTGGATTGGAAAAAAAAAAAGGAAAACCATCTTGCAGGTACTTATAGTTTTTTTCAATTTTTAATTTGGTACCTATACTTTTTCTCTCTTGTTTTAAAATCCTTCAACTTCTTTCCGTCAATACCGTTAGCCTCCCATGTTTTTAGATATCCTCTCAACGGCCAACGGAATATAAACGGTGTTAAAAAAGGGCAAAAAATTGAAGACCCAAGGACGCAAGCCATGACTGGATTGTCTTCTCTGTTCGTTGAGCATCACAAGCGTAGCAGCAGTTATGAAGACGCAACGCATTCTCTACTCCATTGAGCAAGGAAATGATCAAAATACAGTGACAAGTATATATTTCTGTTCCATTCTCAAATTTATCATCTAGTATGAATGGGTTTCATATGTCACTATTTTTGTGTGTTTTTATGAGCGAGTGTTTCTTCTGCTTGACAATAAAAAAAAATCCTCTACAAAATATTGCTTAACATTAGCCTCTGCTCTGAAGTAGCCAATTCAACAGGACTGCAAATTGCAGCAGATGGAAACACAACAATTTCTAGATCGCTTGATCAAATTCTATAAAATTTTAGCCTGTTTGATCTAACAACCGATTTGTCTAACTTGGGAGATAGTGTGGTACATGACCTTATGCAATTCATTTTCATGTATTTAATTTAGTTCATGTAATAGAGTTCGTCTAGGAATTAAGGTTTTTAAATGCACAACTCGCACTATTCTATTCTATCACTATCACGACACACTAGCAGTACTTTAGATGTTTGTGACAGAGGTGGAGCTACTAGAAACAAGTGATAACTTTGTAAAGATGCAGTGATTTATTTCAAATGGAAGCATCAAGTTTTCTATGTCATTATGAGGATAATTGGTGTCATCAATGATTTTTTTCCCGTTCTTTTTTATTTTGCCATCAGTTATCAATGATTTCAGTGCTATCAACAGAGAAGAAACAATCAGAATACAAGACACGCACACATGAAAGAAACGATCCAATTGTAGCTTGCATCTTTGCTTCTTCAGTTATTTCCCCTCCTTTCCTTTTGTTCCCCCTAATTTCAACGATGTTTACATTCTGTTGGCCCTTGAGGACATATCCAGAAACACAGCGGGTAACAGTATTGACAGAAAGAAGTTGAAGGATTTTTAAAAAATTAAAAAAAGTATAGGTACCAAATTAAAAATTGAGAAAAACTACAAGTACCTGAAAGATAGTTTTCCCAAAAAAAAATGATCTTCATATACTCCTCCTTATCAGTCGTACAATTTCTATGAGAATAATTTCTATAAGAATAACCTGGTCCAAGGTATACCTGCCTTGAAGAATAATTAATACTAAGATATCAATCCACTTTATTTCGTATAAAGTAGATTATAAATATAAAAACTAATTTAAATTTTAATATAAATATAAAAAATAATTTAACTTTTAATTTAATTATAAATATAAGATCTTAATTTACTTTATTTCGGATATTTATCTGTTTCTTTGAAAATAATTTTTGCAATAACTGCACCTAATGTGCATGATTAACAAGAATATTTTAAAAAAGACATCACTTATTTATTACAAATAACCAACTTCACAAACTTTTTTAATCTATTCAAATTAGTCGATTAGCTCATATATTAAGAATATGAGATAATATTTATTTGTTGATTTTATTCTTATAATTAATACTCAAATATAACTCTTTATATTTTTCTCTATCTTACGTACCCTCATTCAATATAAGCAAAATTAAAAAAAGTTTTTAATTTGAAACTCATTTATTGAATTAACTTATATTGCTAAAGTTGGGGCCGCCTAGCTGCCAATTAGCTGCCCAGGCTCCGACACGGGTGATAAAATTATTTGCCAAGTATCACTATGATAAGATCTGCGGACGCAGTCCCTCTTACGGTGTGTTTGGCTTGATAAGAGGAAAGAAGGAGGATGGATTTTAATGAAGAGAAGGGGACGAGCGAAAAGAGTGGAAGAATTTTAATATTATTTTATTTAGATTTATGAAAAAAAGAAGGGAGGGGAGGGAAAAATATTTTAATATAGACAATTTACTCTTATTTTATTTAAGATATAGACATAATAGTTATAACATGATAAAATATGAACAGTTACAACACGGCAAAACATTGGCATAATAATCACAACATAACAAAATATTGCCATTTTCCTCTAAATCCTCCCAATTTTAGAGAGGAGGTTAAGGAGGGGAGGGGAGGAGATATAAAATTTTAAAAAAAAATTTCTCCCCTCCTAAAATTTGTGTGTTGTCAAACAAAGAGAAATAATTAAAATCCCTTCCCTTTTCTTTTAAATCTCTCGTACCAAACATACCTTTGAATTCCAAGATATTCATAAATCCACTACATTTAATAAATATATGCAAAATAGTAACGCTCATAAAGCATCAATAATCGCCTATTTTTTTAATGAGCAATATAAATAACACATGCTTAAATTTATTTTAAAAATGGTAAAAAAAAGAAGGTAAAATATTGTTTAAAAACATCCTCTTAGGGTCCATGCATGGGCCATCTTCATCATCCAGAATTCATCACACTTCCCACCGAGGTCCATGCCTGTCGCTTATATCCTTTCCCATTATTTGCCTTTTTTTTTTTTTTGCCAGATGAGCAAATGTGTGTGTAGGTGAAACACTAAAGACAGACCAATCAAACGACAACCAAAAACATAAAACAACATGATTTTGAGTTATTTTCCATCGGTTTTTACCAATTGTTGACGCTTGACTAGCTTATTTTTCCTCAATTTTAATAAATGTCCTGGTCAAACTATAGGCCAGTTTCATGTCGGTCCCAAAAGATACGATAATACTACTTCTCATTTTTAATATAAAAGCTTATATGGCTTTTAAATTAATTTTAAATATAAGACCTCAATCCATTTTGTTTATAATATTTATCTGTTTTCCCTCAAATAATTTTTATAATCATTGCATATGTTAAAAAGCTATTATCAATAAAAAATTCAAACATACATGATTAATAAAGGTATTTTAAGAAAGTTAACTTCTATTTGTTTCTAAATATAAGATCTCAATCTACTGTGTTTCTAATATTTATCTGTTTTTTCCTCAAATAATTTTTATAATCATTGTATATGTTAAAGAGTTATGATCAATAAAAAATTCAAATATACATGGTTAATAAAGATATTTTAGAGAAATTAACATCTATTTGTTATTAAAAAAACCATTTTAACTAACTTCTTTTATCTTTCCAAACTAATCAATTAAGTTTTATATTAAGGATCGGAGGTAATACTATATTACCGCCTCTGGTTTATCCAAATCAATCCATATGATTCTACCATTAAAATTTAGCCTCCAAAATTAATAATGTTACAAAAACCACACTTAAGCGGCATTAATGATGTTAAATTATTGAGGATGATATGGCAAAGATTTTACACTTTGTTAGGTGTTATAGCCATAAGTCAGTGAACTCTAAATTAAAATATAACAAGATAATGATTGCACAACCCAACAAATGGCGTGATGATCTGGTATCTTCAGAGGCAAAGCTAAGGAAGCCTTTTCTTCGTTGTTGCTTAATGTTTTCGCAAAAAAGGAGGTCCTCCATTTCTTTATTTCTTTTTTCATGTATATATTTTTGTGTTTTAATTTATCTTAAAAAAAATATTAACATGTGTTATAAAAAGAGTTTTGACCGCTTAAGTATTGAGTTGGAGTTTCTATAAATGTAAAAATAAAAGTTTTTAGAAGAGTTATCTTCAATTAAACCTGATAATATTAAAATGAGATAGTCATATTAAAAAAATAATAATGCTTACAAAATTTTTACTCTGCATTTTTTATATACGAGTATTAAATTTTGGTCTAGAAATTCGCACGAAATTGGAATTCATTTCGATTTCGGATTAGCAGATAATGGGGGTTAGGGTTTATTTTAACTGGCCATTTACTGTGGGAGGTCCCAATCCGAATCGTCGCGTACTGTGAGGTCGTGTCAACCCAAATCTTTGATTCCTATCTTCTCTGCCGGTAAATTCCCGATTCCTACCTTGTCCCGGTCGTTAATAGGCACTTCTCCATCATATTTTCCGTACAGAGGGTTTTTTCGCTTCTGTGGAGTTAAGGCAAATTTGTTAGATTAAGCTCAACTGTGAAGACTGAACCAGGTTTTGCTGAAGCTTTGTTTCTGCTTGTTTGAAACTGGATTCACCGTGTATCTAATTTACTAGCTTTTGGTGCTCTTTTCCTTTGACGTTGCTATCCGTTGATTATAAGGAATTTCCCACCTTTCCTTTGTATACATGAAGTTCCGAATTTAAGAGCTCCGACATGAATTTGTTAAATTCATTATTTTCTTCCAGTGATCGATTTTGTTCGGTCCGTCTGGAGTTTTCAGTTTGAATAATTAGGCTTTCAACGGTTTTTCATGTCAACCCGTAAGTTGACCTCCAGGTCCATCGGAGCTTTTAGATTGGCCTTCTTCCAAAGATGTGCAAGCACATGGTCTCAAATTATATTGGTTTGCTAGCTACTGGAAGAAGGCCCATCTAGAAGCTCTTGTGGAAATGAGCTACGGTTTTGAACTGTTTCAGCAAATTCTTCAGTTCAGTATTTGTGATGGTACTTGAGGACAAGGATCAATTTCGAGGGAGAAGCATTGTCACATGGTAATTAGTTAGTGGTCAGTATATTATTTAGGGAAGCTGCTTGGCAATAATAGAATATGGAAGACTATTTGATGACTTGGATCCCTAATAACTTATAAATGAGGGATGAGATAGATATATAGTGTCAACGAATTGATTATGTGTCGGTTTACGTCTGTACTCATTACCATATATCTATCACTATATTTCTTGTCTGCTGTTTAAAATTCACCAATATGCGAAGCACCATCATCATTTGCCAACATATTTCCCTGTGAACTTGCAGCCATGGATGTCACTGATGGAGAGGATGAAGCTTCAGTTTCTTCTCCTATCCTGAATTCCGTAGATTCGCAGCAGAAAGAAGATCTTGCCTGGGCTGATTCCTGCCTAATTGAAGATAGTGATATTTTAGAAAGTACATGGGATCCTCTGAAAAATGCTTTACTTGAAATAATTAGTTCTACGCCAGAATCTTTCAACACTGACGGAGGAACAGATATTGAGATTCTTCCATCAAATGAGGATAACAATAATGCAGGGTTCCAGGGAACTCGTGATGATTGGTCTTCTGTCAGTAATGCCTTTGAAAGAATTGCCGATAATATTCAGGATGACAATATGGCTTACACGCAGCCGTCATGTTCCTTTGAAGAAAATATTGGGCCTGTTTCTGAAGGAAACATGCAAGCAAGTAACCATACCAACGCGGAGCGCTCTTCTGGGTCTTCTTCTACTTATAATGCTACACCAGTTGGTCTAGCAACGGCAAATAGTGATGATATTCCCGAGAATGAAAAGACTGAAAATCTGCCTCCTCCAGTCTTCCAGGGAAATCCTTTCTTGCCAACTTACAGTGAAGACAGGGAAGATAATGAAACCATGGATTCAGGACTTAATCTGGATTCATTAGCTCATGACACAGAGCAATCATCTGATGATATCTTCAAAATCTGGGACTTGAATATTCCAACGGAGGACGAATTTGTTAAACAGTTGAACAAAGCGTTGGCAACAAATCCCTTACAAATGAAGCCATCACCTTTTGATCATTTGGGGCAGTGGAAAGTTATGGAGCGAGGATCACCTGATAATCTTGTTTCTTCTAAAAATTCAGAGCAGTTGAATGTTTTGGAGGAAGGGCCACTTGATGATCTCATTGAAGGCTTTGCTAACCTGTCTTTGAATAGCTAGTTTTTTTTCTTTTTAATCACTCCCTATGAGATTCTTCAATGCCATTAAAATTTCTCTACTAGAAATTTAACAAAATATATCCCTTTTCTTCTTTTGGGCTTTCTGTATTGAAATTTCTTTTCATCTGCATCTATCATTAGGTTTTGAATGATTCCTTGAAAAACCAAGGACTCTGTCGTGTTTTACCTGTAACCTGTGATCAAGACATTGTCTTGACTGGGTTGGCCCAAAAAAAAAAATGGCATGGGATGTTTAATCCAGAAATTAGGGGGTGAGGACATCAAGAGTTCCTTTTTATGATTGTGCAGTGTATGAAAAGCTGAATTTGTTCAGTATGGTCTATTGGAGTCAAATTATGGCTATTTATGTTAGATTGGTCTGAAATAGTCCTTACCTTCAGAATCATGCTAAATTAAATAAATTTACTCACATGATAGAGAACAAGCATGTCAAGAACCGAAATTGGCTTCTGGAATGCCTCCGTTGATTATTACCAGGGTAGAAAGGAATGCACAATATCTATTATTTCTTTTAATCATCTCTCCGTGATATCTATTTACCCCCAGTTTTAAATGCAGGAATATGATGATCATTTTCTATCCTCATAATGATCTGTTTTCTTCCATTCTTAAATCAAAATCTCAATCATATGAGTCCAAAAAAAAAAAAAAAAAAATCAAAATCTCAATCATATGAGGCATATCAGCACAAAAGGAATTTGTATTTTATGTACAAAAGCGTGTATTCGAAAAACTGTTAATGTTGGTAAAAATCTAATTTTGATGAAAGTAATGTGAGAATGATTTCTTCTCAAAAGTTGCAAAAGCTCGTTTACAGTGAAAACCAAATAAGCTAGCAGTCTCCTCATGTTTCTCTCACTTTGACTAAAAAGACGAAAAACTTGGAACAATTATAGTGGCGGAAGCAAGCAGAGTTTCAAGTGATCAGAATGAAAGAAACGATGGAACACAGATACATTTAGGAGGAATGACAAATCTCATTTATGAATAGTAATATTAATTCTCAGGGGTAGTTTTAATGACAGATCTCATTTATGAATAGTAATAATAATTCTCACGGGCAGTTTTTTCTTTTCCCCCTTTTCATGAGTCCATTAGTTAAAAAGCAGGAGGTGCCAATAGTAATAACAAACACAATGATAACAGTTTGCAACGATGTCGCAGTTTCCGTAGTTTCCAGTACCAGGATGTTTCATTTTGCAGAGATCATCACAATCCTCGAGGTCGCATCCCACCTTAGGTCTATTTCTTTACAGTTTGTCTTCGCTTCACTTGATCCCCACATTATCGTCCCTGCAAATATCCAATGTTTAATCATTCATTCCATAATATCCCACGTTGTACTGATCTTATTTGTTTTAGGACCGAAGCTAGTATTATATTCTGTATCACTCTCAAATTAGCAAGCCACCATGTTATCCTAGCTAGCTCATGAGATTCAAATGAATGAAGAAATTATTAACCTGAGACAATGAGAAGCAGCAGCAACATGTTGGTGAAGGAAATAGTCTTGGCAGCCATATCTCCAACGTTGTCTCAAATCTATCAGTTCATATGCTTCTTTTGTTCATTGGAATATAATGCATACAGATACCAGCTAGAGAGAGGGGGGAGAGATCAGTACGCTACTTACATTAATATTGCTATGGATTGATGAATCTATGTGAGTCTTCTTCGGCTTTCAAATTGAACAATCAGATAATGTTATTTAACCTCAAGACATGCTTTTTTTTTTTTACAAAAAAATTTAGATAAGTTAAGTTTCAGAGGCTCGTCAAAACCGGAACATGTTTCAAGTTTAAGAAATGTTTATAGAGATATTGTGATATTGTAGATCACCCATTAACAAAGTTCTCATATCAACAGCGAGATTCGAATTCATAATTTTATGAGTTATGCATAGGCTATTTACTAATTGAAATTTAAATCATGTTTAATGCTTAATTTGCTGTATCCACGATATGGGTCTACGTCTTTCCACCCCTATGCTTCACGCGCATTTATACCTGTATTATTAGGCCTATTAGCTATTTATATATGAATATAATTTTTTTTTCTTTTTTCCTTTTATGGTTGGACTGATTTCAAATATCATGGTTTTTGCTTAAATTTGTTAAACTTTTAGTGTATTGTTATATGAATTAATTGCGAACATAGTTGCCAGTTATGGCTGCATTCTGACTTGTATATGACCAAATCCAATTAAACTAAATACCTATTTGGAGACTTGAGAGAGCACTTATTGAGTGTCCTTGACTAGCGTGATTTATAATTAAGAAGAAAATATAATAGAGATTAATCAAATACTCTTAAAATGCAAGGGGGATAAATAATTCTGAGTCCCATTTTATTCTTGAAGTTGAAAAATCATTTCTTTTCTTTAAATTTTGATTTTGTAAATTATTTCTCTTTGCTCTTAATATTTGTGTCACTCAAATTAGGCAAAAGAAATAAGGTTTTCAAATCAAATTCTCATAAGAATGATACTTTGCTCATCACTTTATTAGTATTACTTGTCATGAGTCATGAGTGTGACCTGTGCACTTGTGGTGCAAGCACAGAGCAATTTCTTCTCAAAAAGTTGCAAAAGCTCATGCACAATAACAAGCAAATAAGGTAGCCATTATCTTCTTATTATCGCTTCACTTGATCCCCACATTATAGTCCCTGCAAATATTCAATTTTTAATCATTCATTCCATAATACCCAATGTTGTAATGATCTTAGATTTAGGATCAAAGCTAGAATTATATTCTGCATCACTTTCAAATTAACAAGGTACCATGTTATACTAGCTAGCTCATGAGATTCAAATGAATGAAGAAATTATTAAGCTGAGATAATGAGAAGTAGCAGCGACAGGTTGGTGAAGGAAATAGTCTTAGCAGCCATATCTCCAACGTAGTCTCAAATCTGTCAGTTCGATTGTACGCTTCTTTTGTTCACTGGAATATATACAGAGACTAGCTAGGGGAAGAGGAAGAGATCAGTACGCTACTTACATTAATAATGCTGTGGATTGATGAGTCCATATGAGTCATCTTGGGCTTTCAAATTGAACAATCAAATAACATTATTATTTAACCTAAACCTCAAAACGTGCATTTTCCAAAAAAAATTAGATAAGTTAGGTCCTAGAATTACTTATCAGGACTAGGGTGTCGGTCGATGGTGTGAAAACACTTCCTGATGTCGAATTCCAAAAACCAGCGAGTATGTTTAGCTTTCAGACTCAGATAGTGCTTACAGAAATATTACAAATCGCCTATAAACAAGATTCTTACCTTAGTAACGAGATTCGAATGCATAACTTTTTTAGGTTATCTTGTTAGTGGTTTTTTTTCAAAAAAAAAAAAAATTCATGTTTCATGCTTAATTTGCGGCATCCAGGATACAGGCATACGTCTTTCCACCTGTATGCTTCACGCGTATTTATACATGTGTTATTAGAACTATTAGCTATTTATACACGTACACAATTTCTTTTTCTTTTTTCCTTTTATTGTTCCACTGATTATGTAAATAATTTCAAATATCACGGTTTTTGCTTAAATTTGTTAACCTTTTAGTGTATTGTTATGTGAATTAATGGCGAAATAGTTGCCAGCTGTGGCTGCATTCTGACCTGTACATGACCAAATCCCTCAACTATATCAGCTCATACATATCTGAGTCTGAGAGCCCTTTAATCGTTGGAATTATTTCATGTAATTTAGCTGCTGCCTTAATTGTTTATATGAGTTTCTTTAAGGAATTAGTTTTGATGCTCATCATATGAGCATCGAAATTTGGTACATATTTGTTTATTTTTTTACTTTTATTTTTTTGAAAAAAGGAAGAATAACCAAAAAAGACTTTAACAATTTCAAAATTTTAAATCAGGATTCGTTACAACACTTTAATAGGTTTTGATAACAATTACTACCTTTGGTCCTTAATATAAGACTTTGTTTGATTTTTATTTTGGTCCTAAATATAAGACCCCAATCCATTTTGTCTCTCATATTTACTCAATTTTTTTCAAATATAGTCCTTCTAATAATTATAGTCCCAGTCAATACACTTGATTAGTAAGGATATTTTAGGAAAGACAATATCTATTTAAGACAAATAACTAACTCAATTTACTTCCTTAATTTCCTCAAATTAATCAAATAGGTCTTATAATTAGGACCGGAGGTAGTAATTTGCAAATAACACATTTTTATGAAAATACCTGATTTAATATTTTGCAAGTTCTATGATTTTTTTTGGTCATTCTCCCTTACATTATTTTAATACGTAGAGAATGTAAACTATAGATAATTTTTTTTAGTTGTCAATTTTTCATTTAAAATTATTAGTTCACAATTTTAAATTTAAACTACTGAAACCGTGTTTGGAAGGTGCGAACCTCATCTGGGCATCGAAATTGGTATCGCTGTTAACTAACTTTTCAAATTCTCCATTTAATATTTCATGTCAAAATCTTTAGTGCGATTAAATACTTTTGTTTATATTTTTAAAATAAATTTAATACTCCCCTCTCAACATCATTAAATCACAATCTAATGACTAACATTTTTTTTGGATTACGACTTAATTAAAGAAGTCTCAATGAGGGATCCAAATCCAAGCACAACAATATAAACCAACTATAAACAGAAACAAAAGAGAACTGAAACTATACAGCATCAAGCATCTCTATTTTTTTCTGCACCAATAAGACTGAGCACCTAATAATAATAACAATTTTTTTTTTTTGAGTAGAAAGGATAACAATTTATTTATTTAATAGGACTGCATAATAACATAATATTCCTTTAATATTAAATATAAGACATATTTTATAGTATAAATTACATTACAGAATGAGTATTATATTTATAATCAGAATACTACCTTCGGTCTTAATTATAAAACTTCGTTAGACGTAATAGTTTATAAGTTTGGCCAACAATTAAAGTTACACAGTTACAATAAACAATGTTGTCAATGGGAACGCAATCTCCTGTGGTAGAGCTTCCGTGCTTCTCTTTACACCTCTCCGTACAGTCTTCTTGCTTGCAACTCCATTTACCAGTTATTTCAAAACAGTTCGTGTTCCCCTCCTCACTTGACACTCTCACATATGTACACACACATACACACAAACTCACACAAATTATAAATAATCAATTTATTCATCTGAATTTGCATATTCTAATGCGAAATCAACTGTATTACTAGTTAGACGAAGAGGAGGACAAGCAGCAGAACATTTGTACTTGAAGAAATAATCTTGGCCATTCTCCCAGTTGATCAGAAGCAGCTATAACGTTTCAAATTAATTAGTTGATGGCTTTTGAGTAATG